CCTGCGGCCAGCCCTGCGCAAACAGCCCCCGCACCATAGTCCATGGCTGTCACAGAAACCATGCTGAAATTCCTCTCCTCCATAGCACTCTGCAATATTGAAAATAAAGTCCCACCAAGATCATACAGGTAGGCTAAGGTCATGTATCTAGTCATTGTATGTCTCAGAAAGCAACCCTGGAGTCCCAGTTCCAAAATCTGGGATGGGTTTCAGGCCAAGGTAGTATCTGCATCACTTTTCCAGCTGCTGCTCTAATCTGATCGCACGTCCACTGAATGCAGCAGGTAACTAGTTTTGAGCCCGATGGCATGGAACATTCCTTGTTATGGCTCAAACAGGAGCAGCAAAAAACAACAACCTGAATGAACCAAAGAGAATAAAAGTTTGAAAGGGCTCCCCTCCTTTTCACAAGAAAAGCTTCTTTTCACAAGAAGCTGACAGCAGAAAAAACTCATAAAGACTTAAATTCAACATTTCCTTCCGTGGTCAACATCTGCTCATTGAAGAGGAGCCAAAGATGCAGCAGTAAGAACTTTCAAAGCCACAATAGTCCCAGGAATCCAAACATCAATAGGAAGACTTGGAGTCTCATCTTAAAGAATGTGATTGACCAAATTAGGAAAACAAAGGCAAAGATATATAAACAATGAGTTCAGAGGAGACATAACAACATTAGTGCCTTAACAGTGATTTTCTTAGAGTTCAGGAACTTCCCTTTATTTGGGTTTTCTAGGAAATTTTTTGGTTTTTTGTTTGGGTGGGGGATAACTTTGGTGTTTTTTTAAATGAAGGTCCTAGACATTGCTTTTCCTTTTTTCTTTTTAATACCAATCGGGCAACACATTCAACACTGCATTAACTGGTGTTGGTTGTGCCCTTACTTAAACTCATCAGTCTATTTTCTTTAGCTAGATAACAGCTGAATCATTAACATTAAACTGGCTTGCAGTCCTGAAAGAGTACAGCAAAGTACATGATTTTCTTATCAATCAAAAAACAACATAAAACTTATTTCAGATCCCACCAAATATTTTATTTTATACCCAGCTGATGTAATGTTTTGTGTGATTTAGGGGTGGACTTCAGTTATTTGTAAGTACATTTGTAGTAAAATGACAAAACAAAACAACCACTTAGAAGTTGTTAAACTGGATACTTCCACTTTCTCTTTTATTTTTTTTTTCATTTTTCCCCCAATTGTGCTATTTTTTCCGTAAGAGGAATAACTAAGGAAGCTACATCAAATGTGCAACATATCTGAGTAGCTTTCTGTAATGAAAATAATCTATTTTTAATACAAAGATGGAGGAATTATATAGAGGGAGACGCAACAAAAATAACTCTTTTAGCACCACAACTGTATTGATGGGCTCCTGTTGCCAGTCACAGATCTGGGAGAGATCAAAACAACAGACCTTCCCACTGGAGCAGGCTGAGGTACCTCTTTCTCACACCAGTTGATACTTTATGCTGTATCAGCTACTGGAAATCACTTGGGTTGCATGAAGAGCCTCTATACAGTAAGGGTCTTGCAAATGTAGCCATAAAATGTACTGTTCTTGCCATGCTGGCATGCAGAAGAAAAACTGTGCTGCTTGTAGCCACATACCCAGCATCTCCTTAAAGCACTCTCAAACACGCAGGCATGTTATCAGGGGCCAAGGAGAGCAATGCTGGGCACAGCTAAGGCGCTGGTGATTGCTGGCGGAGAAATAGCAGGTTCATAGCAGGAGTAGCAAAGCAACCGTTTGTCATCACGGTAGCTGCCCTCACTCCTTTCTCACCTTCACCTGGTACACAATTTATCACATGCTAAGAAGAAGTGCTGTGGGATCTCTGTGCTACAATATTGGCAGAAACCACTGAGTAAATGATAACCCTAACAACCTACTTGTAATTCCCTTTGGACTCTCTCATAAATACCAGCTAGCCAGCATTGGTCTTTAAGAAGTATTTCTTCAGGGGAAAATTGCACCTCTGGTGAAGAGAATCCATCAGTCACTTAAAAACTGACCTTTGAAGCCACAAGCTCTGTGCTTATTCTTCTTTAATCACAAATTTTGGGAGCAGGTCCTTCAAAGTAATGTCAGATCCTTTCTATCCTTTCTCTCTTTTTTTTTTTAAATGTAAAAAGTAAGGAGTTTACTGCAAATATGCTTTTATAAAGATCATTAACACACTTAAAATTAAGCTCACGTTGAATTTCTTTGTTTGATAAGTTGTAATGTTCCTAGTCTTTTTCTATGTGCTTGAAAAAGTGGATAGATAAATGATTTTTCTATTGATAAACCTCAGTAGACACCTAAGCATCACTCAGCTGCTTGCTCACCCCCCCACCCAGTAGAATGGGGGAGAGAATCAGAAGGGTAAAAGTGCAAAAACTCATGGGTTGAGATAAAGACAGTTTAATAATTTTTTTAAGAGGAGGAAAAAACCAACAAGGGGGGGGGAACACAAGAAAAACAAGTAATGCAAAAGAAAATTGCTCACCACCAACCAATCGATGCCTGGCCAGTCCCCAAGCAATGGCAGCCCCAGCCAACCTTCACCCATGCCCCTCAGCCCCAGTTTTATTGCTGAGCATGACATCATATGGTGTGGGATATCCCTTTGGTCAGTTGGGGTCAGCTGTCCCAACTTTGTCCCCTCCCAACCTCTTGTGCACCCCCAGCCTACTCGCTGGTGGGGTGGTGTGAGAAACAGAAAAGGCCTTGACTCTGTGTAAGCACTGCTCAGCAGTAACAAAAACATCCCCCTGTTAGCAACACTTCTATGACAAATCCAAAACACAGCCCCATACAAGTTACTATGAAGACACTTAACCCTATCTTGGCCAAAACCAGTACACTACATCATGCCAGCAATTCCCGTGGAAGTGGCAAATACCAAATTTTAGTTTCTGTGCCACCATTCTTATATTCCCATTTCCCACCAAAGGGAAAGCACCATAGACAAACACTCATCACGCTGCTTCAGAGCCTGGCTTACGGACGATCATCTCCTGATGAAGTCCCAGGGCTCATGTTTGAGCGTGCTAAAGTTTTTAGTGGTCATCACCTGACAGTCAGTACTGGGGGAAGAGCAAAGCCAGCCCCAACCCAGACCAAAGGCTTTCCAGAATGGGATGACAAGCTCCCAGTTTTGCTTGCCAGGCTCTTCTTTGTCACAGCTGCCCACCACAAAGCTTAGAAACAGCTCAGATCAAGGTGGTAGCAGGCAGCAGGATCAGCGGACTGAGCGCAGCAAGGAAATCACGTTCCTTATGGTCGTGGTCAAGCCTAAATCCCTTTTTCCTCCAGTTTTCCACTTGTAAAACAGGCACAATAATACTCCGCATTACCTCTGTGACTCTACCAGCCATAGTGGATTTCTGCTGACCCCTCTGGATGCAGTGGCATGGTACCAGGAACCTCAGCACTGCCACTGTCCTTACTTCTCCCTTCCCAGCCACATCCCAGTCTTTATCCAGATTAAAAAACAAAAAAGGTTTTTTTCATTACAAAAGGCTTTTGTGACTTGTAATTCTTAAATAACATGGCCTCCAAATTACAGCAATATGTCAGTTAAAAGTACTGAACTGCACATGAAATCCCGAAAACTATATATTCTATAGAGACAGAACCAGTGAATGATTTTGCTTGTGCAAAAACAATACTGTAAAATCTAAGGGGATACCATATGCAAAGGTAAA